TTTTGTCTAGAAAAGTCACTTACTTACTTACTTACTTACATGAAAATTCGTTGAAATAATGAAATTCTGATTCACTCCATAAAGACGTATATGGCGATTTAGGCGGTTTTATAAGTACAATAAGCTTTAGTTTTCCTCAGCCAATGCTGTGAACTAGCCATTGTTAATATTCAGACATTTTAAAGGTTGGTCTTAAACGGACGATTTTTATGGCCGCCATTTTGTTTCATCACTATCCCTACTGTCAAATACTATCGTACTTAATGCTATACATAATAAGACCTTAAGCTAACGGTAGGTAAAACTAATGATGGCCAATACACTAAATTGATTCAATTTAACCCTAAGCAGTTTCTAGTGGAGTTCCCTTTGTTAAATCTTTACAATCTGAGGACTAATTATAACAAAAAACCTCTTTAAGAACTCATCCGAAAAAGATGACTAGAAATATAAGAAAAAAAATTGTTTTTATATAATTTACGAGTGTCACACTTCGATTTTTATATTATAGTTGTAAAGTGGTCACTTTCAGGCAGCTTTCTTGTGACTGGTTGGGACTGGAAGGAACCCTAGGCTTCAGTCTAGCCAGACTATTTGGAAATAATGCACGATAGGGTGGAGAATGGTTGGTTGATAGAAGAGATGGATAAAACAAAGAGTTCTTGAGAAAATACAACTGTGTTGGTTAGATAGAAAGGGGTGGGACTGGATATGCTAATTATAAATTTATCTGGCTGACTAAATAATTGTGATACGTAATTGGTAAGAATGACAAAAGATAACTTTGGTCTGGATAGATGGTTTAACTTACTTATGACTGTGTTGGGATATGCAAGTAAAAAGATTAATATATATATATATTCCATTTTAACTAACTATGGATGTAGAGTTTGGGTGATAAATGATGGAGGGTTTGTTGGATTAAAAGCGAGATTGCTTAATATGTAATTAGACTGAGTTAAAAGTATATCGCATTCTAGAAAGGGATGTTTCTGCGCATAAAGGTTCGGACGTGGCCTAGCGGTTAGCGTGCTGGACTGTGAATCCGAAGGTCTATGGTTTGCATCTCATTGCCGCTAAAAAGTGGCACTCCTCAATCTGGAGCTGTGGATGAGTTATAAGAGTGACGGTGGAATTCCACTGTTATTCAATTAGCGTAGCCTAGGAGATGGCGGTAAATGCTGTTGACTAGCTACCTTCCTATAACCTATCTGTTCAAAATTAGAGACAGTTAGTTCAGATAGCCCTTTGGTAGCTGTACAGAGTAAAAGACAAATGTGTATTTTAAATAAGAAACTTTCAGCTAATGGGAAACCACGTGTTTGGTGTCTCAGTACGAAGAAACAGGAAGAGTTTTGAATTGTTCTTTCGTGAAGTTGAACACATTGTTACCACCATCATCAGTTTGATAGATACATTGTTGCTGTCATTTTTCCCTGCTATTAGTTTGACTAGCAGAAAGGCTGTGGAAGGCTATTGGGCTTGCAACCTTTTCTGGAATTGTCTGACAGTTCTACAACAATGTTCTCATACTTGACATTCAATAACGTTCACCTTCCATGAGATAAAGGATTTTATTTAAATTTTAGTTTAAAAATGAGCTATCATCACAGCATTACATCACAGAGTAGATTTTATTGAAATATTTCTTTGTGGACACAGTTATCAATGAAAGTGCCTTGCTTTTCTGTTGCAACCCTCATGATATTTTCACTAAAGAAAAACAAATAATTTTTTTAAGTTTGTTTTTTTATTTTATATATATATAGTTTGTAATTTTTATTGGTTAAATCTGAAACATATCATTTTTGTGGAAATTTCAATTGTTTTATCTATTGCTCAGCTATAAAAATACTGCCTAGTTATAAAAATATTACCCAGTTATGATTGGTGCTGTAGTTTCCGAGATCCGAGTTTTGGACGTATACATCACAAGCTAACCCTTCCCATCCTAAGTTTGATACACGTACGTTGCTACCACATATATCAAACGAGCTTTTCAACACAGCCTCAGTTCCCAGTCACATACAATACTTCTCAATAGTTCACTGATGTCCATTAAGTCAGTTCACAGAATTTTGTTTTAAGATATCTTTCGTTTTGAAGCTTGTTACAGCTATAACTAAACCAATAAGCTTAGTATGAGACAAAATAATCAAACCAAAAACAGCATCAGTTCTTTAATCACGTCTGATAAGGCAGATATTTCGAGTTAAATATATATGTATAAATGTGGGCTAAATTTCCAGTAATTATATTGTTCATGACACACTTTTTTTAAAACCTTGAGCAAATTTTACACTAATTATTTTATGTTTATTCCATCATTTTTTATGGAGCTTGATATTTTGATAAAAAGGTTTAATAGCCAACAAATTAGAGTTTTTCTAAATACAAATTAAAAAGGTGCAACAAACGTTTTATACTGACGTCAGAATTTATCCGTATAATTAATTACACAGGCCTGCGATGGTTTTATTGTCTTGATATTTTTACACGTTCTACGGTAATTCCTGTACGGTGAATCCGAAAATGATAAACACTTTTCTCCATCACATACAGATTTTTTCATAAAACGTTATAACGCAATACATAAAAGAAAGACAACAACGCGTAGTTTTGAGATTAAATGACGTAGATTTCACAAAAGAAATCAGGATGAATGAAGATGCATATTGACATCAATTTTCTTCCCTTTTCTTCAGTTTGTTTGTATTTTGTTAACGAACATAATAATAAAAAATGTTCATTGTGGTAAACGAAATAATAATTTGATCAAAGTAAGAGTTATTTTTTTCTTCCCGATTTGTAAAAAATCTTTACGTGACAGAAAAAAAAAGAATATTATTTTCGAAATCTGCGTAGTTTAATTATGGCAAATCCGTTATTAAAACCAAAACAACTTTTATAAAGTTTTAATTTTCAGGGCTTTGTTATTTCTGTCATAAAGATCTAATATAATCGTAGTGCCCTGCACATTTACTTTTTTTTATGTACAAAGAAGTTCACGTATCTGATGTATTCGAAAATTGTTTCTGATAAGCTGTCATCATTAGATAGGTCTAAGACTTGCTTGGTTACAGATGTCACTAGAAGGTGGATCTATGAATAACTTGGTTACAGCTGTTATCACTAGGTGGAGGTATGACTTGCGTAGTTACCACTAAGCTGTCACCACTAGATGAATCTATGACTTGTTTTGTTACAGAAGTCACCACTAGGTTGATTTATAACTTGTTTGGTTACAGAAGTCACCACTAGGTGGATCTAAGACTTACTTGGTTACAGATGTCACCGCTAGGTGGATCTAAGACTTGCTTGGTTACAACTGTCACCACTAGGTGGATCTAAGACTTGCTTGGTTACAGATGTCACCGCTAGGTGGATCTAAGACTTGCTTGGTTACAGATGTCACCGCTAGGTGGATCTAAGACTTGCTTGGTTACAGCTGCTACCACTAGGTGGATCTATGACTAACTTGGTTACAGCTGCTACCACTAGGTGGATATATGACTAACTTGGTTACAGCTGCTACCACTAGGTGGATATATGACATGCCTTGTTACAGCTGTTATCAGTTATTTACACAGATCCTTGTGACTAGCTAAACCATAAAATTACTCAAAATTATGCAATACTTGAACCTCAGCGGTAGTGAACGGTATGAAAATAAGTCGTGAATTTGAGGGTAAGTATGTCAGTTTTGATCATAAGGTCTTTAACGTAGGTGATCCCCAGTGGCTTACGACGCTATAAATCGGATTTCGATACCTGTGGTGAGCAGAGCACAGATAGCTCATTGATTAGCTTTCTGTTTAACAATCAAATTCGATATAGATAAATCAAGGCATTAACAACACTATATTTGCTTTTGTTTCAGTTTCTTTTACACAGTTAAGTTGATGGGTTTGAAAACTTTATCATACATATGCTTGGCCATAAATATTTAAACATTTATATCACGTATCTCATCAGATTTGCTCCTCCAGTACCCTCTTCTTCGTTGACTATCTTTTTTTAAGAAATAAATGTTCTCGCCCATCAAAGCTTGAACTGCACTTCCTTTAACTATGGACTTACCTCTTTAATTACATGTGTTAAGAAGGAAAGCTCTTGCTGAAAAGCCCCCCACGGTAACTTAGCGATATGTCTGAGGACTTATAACTCTAAAATGTTTCGCGGTGGGCACAGCACAGATAGCCCATTATGTAGTTTTGTGCTCAACTACAAGCAAACAAAGTTCTCTTCAGAAATTGCCTAATCCTTTATAATTATAGAGAGCTGTAAGAAAACTTTATCTGTAAATTATCTGGATTACTGTAAATTTATCAAGCTGTAAAACAGACTGTATGCAGTTAAGAGAGGCGACCAACCAACATTATCTGAAAAATAATAGTTACAAGTAATCTCCCTAGATGGCAGCAACTCCAAAACCTTAAATTGTTTATATGAATTAAAATACAAATTAATGTTATTATTGACGTGATAATATTACAAGCTATAACAGAGAAAGAAACACAGCAGTAAATTTTTAATTTGTTGGTCTTGAAAGAATGAGCAAAGAATGAAGCTCAGCAACATAAATGGTGCATTCCTATCTTCTCGTGTCTCTGTAATTAGCTCATATTTCTTATCTTACAGATTAAGTTTTGGTGAAGGACGTGGTATTAATTTGTTTGGCTTCAAACGATAGACTAAAAATGAATGTTTCCAAGTATCTTCCGATATTTCTCTTCATAAACTATAATTTGCTTAGTCTCTTCATATTGACTCAAACAACTCAGAAAACAACGAGAGAAAATAAAATATTCTGATATCCTTGTGAGTGAACCTTGCGTTATTAATCGATATGAACTCTACCACTTATAACGTTTGGTGAGGAAACAGACTAAATAAATTAGGGATATCAGTAATATTTGTTTCGAATAAAAGATATGCGCGTATCTACAACTTGCTTTGTCTGTTTTGTTTTGTCTTTGTTCTCTAAATTTCAGTACTGTGTGTTGTAAAGTTTATCTGGTTCGCTTTCCCAGTATTGTCATCACAAGACTTTTTCTTGGATTCTCGTAAGTAGTGTGTTTTTTTAGTTTGATGGAAAGTAACTGGCTATGATTTTGCTTATGTATTAATTACATGTGATGTTTTCTTTAGCTTCGTTTCCTTATTTGATTTTCCCTATAGTGGGTCAGTGGTAAGCTCAGTCTGGATTTGCGCTGAAATAAACAAATAAAACGTTATTGAATTAATCCATACTTTGATTATTTTTTATTCAATTATATATAGAATATTACATCATTTAAAGGGTTTTTATTATTTCAAAGTATACTCTATTGTGATTCATGATGTCTAAAAATATTGTATTGTAGTCTTGATTTCCTTCTTTTATTTTATGTTTAAAATGTCAGGACTTCAGTCTGGAACACCTGTGCACTAAACGTTCGAGGAAATGATGAAACGTGTCTCTCTCTCAGTAAAATTTATGTATATGTTTGAATATTTATTTAGCGACTCATATATAGTATGTTTATAATAATTATATTTTCTAACTTGTGTTGTTTCTTTTTTTTAATTTCGTGTAACTTTGGAGTGTGACTCGTAACATAAAAGTAAAACCTTCTCTAGCTTTTTATTCACAATGGCTCACATGAAGACGGGCTGAAAGTTGATTGTGTTTATTTTTATTCTCTGTTGTTCGTAGTAACACCTATGATGTTTCATCCTTTGCCCACAAAACATTACAGATTTCTGACCTACAGCAGGGATTATTATCACGGATTTCTGATCTTAGGCAGGATTTCTTATCACGGATTTATGATCTACGGCAGCGTTTCTCAAACTTTTGTACCTGAAGGCCCACAATTTATGACTTAAAGCAGTCACAGTTGTTCCGACCCGTGGCGACCCATAACTGCGCTTTCGCGGCTCTCCGACTGAGAATCACTGGTCTAGAATGTTGGCTCAGTTATAGTTGTCGGAGGATCTACATTATCATCCTGTCATAATTTTGCATCGTCCTAATGAACGACGTATATGTTTATTGAACATTATCATAAGTTATAAGTATATAGGTATTGGCAATATGTGTGTGTGTGTGATTAAACTGTGTAGTTTGAATTCATATTCAGAAAACTGTAACTTGTATATGTAGGGATTGGTCAGATCTGGGCTTCGTTTTTCCTGCTGAGCGATTAAATTGAGAAGTAAAAGTCGA